GAGCGTCAGTCAGAGTTATCCCTCTCTTAGGCACCAAAGTCAACGGTCATTTCACTGTAAATCCGAGCTTAATTATATTGTTCTATTGTCAACTGAACTACTTGTCATTTTACTATTTGTACATTGTTCCGTCTTCTCTTTAGTATGATATCCCTGCAGTCTTAACCCCATTGATAACAAAGTTTCCTTTCACCCATTTCAAGTGGTATTTTGATGGGTCAGTATCTGCCCTTAGTGTTTGCCACACCAAAAAAAAAACAACCAAAAAACAAAAAAAAGAACAAGGCTTTTTGGTGCTTTGACATGCAATCTTTTTAATAACAGTGCCTTCAAAGTATAAAGAAGGCTGCTTAGTAGCTTCAGCTAATAGTGAGAAAACTGTGCCCATAACAGGCAGCTGATTATTTTTGCTCCATCTACCTTATAGTCAGAAATGATGTGTAAGGATGAAAAATATTTACAAAGATGCCATTCTGAGCCTCGAGAAAACATGAGGACCCCTTCACAACTCCCCTGTCAAACCCATCTTGAGATTCTTTTACATAGCAAAGAGTTCACTGAAGCCTTAATCATCAAAGATAAAGTTTGAATTGTAAGATAAAGCTGAGAAATGAAAGCATGAGTGGCAGAATTCACTACTAGCATTACAGATGATAGCCTCCCTTTAAAAGCCAGATGAGTATATTCCCCTCTGAAGTATAAGCATGTACCCTGTTGTAGCTGAAAGATCAGCAAAACACTGGGATTTGGGGAAACCCGAATATACTGTAGCTGAGTTCTACTTCACTGGGGAATAAATTCCAAGCAAAGAAGGGGCAATTGCTGAGAAAGAATTAATGGTCCCAAATATATTCCTGTTAATGCTCCTGTCTCCAGTTACTCTCTGAGAAGGCTTACAGATTGTGTCATTCATGCAGACTTACATGAAAAGGAAATGAAATGAATGGTGTCAGTCAATCACTTGCTGGATTTTGCAAGAGTTTCTTCCTAATTTTTTTTCCTTGTGCGCACACAATGGAATTAAGTTGATTCTTTCACCTTGTTGCCAGGCTAGAGTATGATTTTGTCCCCTAGCTTTCCTATTACCATTTCCCCCTCGCGTTGTTATAAAACCTAGTAACCTTAGCGAGATCCCAGAGTGTCACTGTACAATATGTACTGCTAACACAGAGCAAAGTATTTGTCCCAGGCCCATACCTTTAGCTTTCTAAATGTGAAACAAAAGCTGAAAGATGCATATAAACAGATTGGCAGAAACAGACAAGGAAATAATGTGGCCATTATTACTGATCTGCCTGATAAGTAGTATTCTACCATCTAAGTAGAGGGGTAACAGAGTTGTAAGGAGAGTTCTGAGGGAGAATAATGAGTTGGTTTTGAGGATGTTTATGAGAAACTCCTTTGAAGGAAAAGAAGTTGCTTAAAAGAAGAAACTAATTTACTTCTTTGGAAGCAGATCATGGTGGCAGTAATATCAAAGCTGTTCAGCTGATTCTAAAACCTATAGGACTGTCAATCTTGGCTGAATAAGGGAGACCTCTATTATCTTCAGTAACATAATGGTAATCCTGCAAAGCCTTCAGAATTTGAGAACCCTGGATAGAAGTTTTATTGGTGTTCTGCCCTTATTTAAGAATCTTTACAAAACTACTTTTGACAGATTATAGGTTAAAAAGAAATACAAACTTTGCCAGGGAGTTTTTGGAAGTGATCGTAGTGTTTCTGTGATCTGTACATCCTTTTCCATCATCCTGAGAATATAGCAGCTGAAGTTCCTGCCATAATATTTGTGTGTGTGTGTTTGAAAAGTCTATCCACTTTTTGGAGAAGGTGGGCCATTATCTGCTAGAAGGAAAAAAAATGATGAGATTGCGTTAAAGAACAATCTAAAAATGGCTGAGTAAACTATACATCAGCTGCATTTTTTTTATTGTCTGTTAATTCTAGCCAGAATTATTTAAAATAACAATTCAAGCTTTAATTCTTTGTCTTTCCTATATCTCCCATCATCTTCTGTGTTTTGCTCAGGTCTGAGTGTTATTGAACTTGATTTAAAATACTTATTACCATTTAGATTCTTTATGTGATAATGAAGAAATAGCTGTCTAGGTATTATGTACTCAAAGAGCAGAGTACTAGAACACTGTGCCAGGTAAATCTAGTTTAGTGGACACGTTTCTTGGATGTAGTGAAATGACAGCATTCAGTGCTCAAGCAGTTAACACTATTGGCACTTAGGGCTTTATAATTAGGCATTGAAGATAAAAGGGATGTTGCCAAGGCTAGTAGGCCTAAAATTAAACCGACCAGCTGTGTTTTAGTTTTAGCACATGCGAACGTGACGCAGGTGCGTATTATACCATCTTTCAACTCTTTCTGCATAGCCCACTATGTTCTCTATTAGAATCTTGCTCTTTTACTATTTCTAGAAACAGAATTCTTGTTATTGTGAAAAAAGGAGATAGTAGATAAACAAATGAGAAATGACAAGAGCACTAGGAAGGCACAATAAGCGCTGGTGCGTAGACAATATGGATGGAGATTTAATAGAAGGCTATTTCCTCTCTCTTCTGTTGAAGCTGCTAAAGAAACTAATGTCTCTACATGTTATCCAATTATTCATAAATGGAAAATGCATAAACAGCTGCCTGAATGGGAAGCAGAACCAGGCCTCCTTTCTTCTCCTCTCTGCTTAAATAACTGCGATGTCATTAGTACAGTCCTTGTTTTATTTATTCTTGCTTTCTCTTCCTCTCCCACTCATTCTGCAGATGAGCAGATCTTCTCTTCCCTTCAGTACAGATGGCCAGCCTAATGGAAGGATGGAATAGGTTTCCAGTCCAGGATTTCTTTGCCTCCTGAGAGAAGGAGAATTGTTATCTTAATCTTCATCTTTTGGGGGGATTTTTCATCTCTTTTTATATGGCTATTGTGCAAAAGCTGTACAGGATTAATTATGTTTATTAATTGTTTTAAGGTGCTGTTCAAGGAAGATATTTCTTCTTGGGACTTGAGATTCAGATACTCCCTTACCTGTCTCAGAATCACATTGATACTTGGGTACTTGTTTCTGTTTGTCTTCCCTGAACACAGGCACAGACATTCACTTACATGTCTGTATCTTAAGCATCTACTGATTTCAGGTTTCTCTGGGGTTAAGTTGAATTTGAGTCATTCAGAATTGTTCTCTGAAATTTAGAAGACTACAGTCTGCCTAGCCTCAGCTCAAGTCTGTCGCCTTAGCAGACCAGAAGGTAACAGTTATAACTCAGTTGGTTCTGTATGTGGTCCTGCTGTAAAGAGAAGCAGCAGTGGGTAACAGGAGCCTCTGGTGGCCTGGGGATTGCTCCAGGAGCTTCCAGAGAGCTCATGGGCTGAGGCAGGAAGCAATGGAACTGCAGGAGTCTCAGCCAGGTGCTGGGAGAAGCGAAGAACTGGGCTTCAGGCAGAGCCTTTAGAGGGTAGAGAGTGCTGTGAAGATTGCTGCTGTTCAGGAAGACGTGGAGTGAACTAGGAGTAGGGACCCTCCTGCAAGGACACAGGTTGCAGAGAGGAGTGGTTTATAAACCTGTTTTTTAGCTCTGATCTAGTTACTTTAAAATTCTTCTATTTCAAAAGGTGAGTATTCAGATTCTAATCAAATTTGACTTTTTGAATTTAAAAGCCTTTCAGTCTCTTTGGGACTCTCTTTCAGTTTCTCATGGGAGGAACTCTTGGCAAATCCACTCCCATAACCTGGCTGACATAAACTCTTAAAAGGGAAAGGAGCTTATATTTCATTAAAACAATTTTTTTTTCTTTCATTACAAGCAAAGGAAGTTCTCTGAGGCTGTTGTAACTGATAGGAGGCAAAGCATTACTCTAGAAGCTCAGGTTTATAAATAAGGCAAAAATCTTGACCCTCTTACTTGACTAAGGAATTAGGACTTAGAGAGGCTGAAGTTAAAGCAAGTTATTCTCTAAAGCCTAGGCTTTTACTGCTCCTTGAAGTTCAGCAGTCACTCCAACTGAGCTAGGCTGTGTTCTTTTCATGGCCGAGTTTCCTGGCACTCTACTCTGAAGAAAGACAGCTGTGTTTTTCCACTTACATATTAACACTTTCCCTTCTGCCTGGCTTTGGCCTGAAGACTGTGCAGAAACTGAGAAAGCCCTCATTCCAGCCATTTGACCTTTCCAACACTTACTATCTTCTAGGGTTCATTTTCACCACTGCTGGCTTTCCATTGCTATGTGACCACTTTTGTACTATTACTTTTTTTGTGCACATATCCCTGTTTAGATTGAGTAAGGCTTTACTAAATTCAGATAACTCTAGAAAAGAATGCTACTAAATAGGCAAAGGTTTTGAGATTCTCAGTATTAATCCTCAGTGAATTGTAGCCTACTGTTTGAGTCGACAAATGTAAAATACTCCATTCTTCCCAAGGCAACACAGTGAGGAACAGTCTCTGAAGTGCCTATATTAACATACGCTTCCCTCGCCCCTTCCATGCTGTTCATGCTGGTGATCTGTGAAACATGGAACAGGATGATATGATACAAAAAATTGATAAAAGAAGCATTTGGAATCTGACAGGTTATGTTTAACCAGATTTTACTGTCCCCTATCATAAGATTGGGGAGCTTTTCTCTAAACTCTGTAAGACCATGACTGGAGAAATTGTTCTAAGTCATTAAGTGGTGTAATTGATTAAGATTGCTTTTTTTCCTCTATTATCTGTCTTTTTGGAGTAAAGTGGTAGAATTCAGAGCACTCTCTCAAGTACTCCATAATCACAGCAGATGATGAGAACAGTATAATCTTTTTCAATAAGTTTGGGCAGGTTTTGAAGATGAATTTCTAGCCAGCTGCAGGTGAACAGACTTCTGCTGCTGGTAAAAGCATCCACCATTTTATTTGTAGTAGTTTGTCTTTGACTTTTAAAATAGATCAAGAAACAATGCTTTTGTTTCAAAGCCTGTCTCTTTGATAACGTTATGGGTAAGTACCTGAACTATGAGCTTTTCATAATCAAATCCTTGTCTTTATTTGTCATACCTATCAGGTAGAATTTTCAATGATATAAAATAAAGTTAGGAGGAAAAGTCCCACAGAAGTCCTAAGTTTTAAGGGTTTCACTGTGCCTCTTAAAAGGACACAAGCTTCCATTAGTCACATTCTAAACCTCTGCAGCATAATATATGCTGAACCTTTTGTTAACATCTCCTGGAAGGAACTGTGCAGTTTTTAAGTAAGTATTTATGAGACGTGTTGAACTTGGGGTTTCCTTCTCAGAGCTAGCCTTCAGGTAGTGCATTGGTCTGAAAGTGGAGCCTGACAAAGAATAAAAATACAGTATTTTTTTATGTGCATATTAGACAGCAAAGTTAAAGTTCTTCACAATCTCCCCTGCATTTTCTTTCCTAATAATATCTTTATTGGTCCAGTAATTTAACACTCATACCTGGTAGAACTCCATTTTAAGTTTGCTTTTGGACAGTTGCACAGTTATCAAGGGCATCTGTTCAGGCATCAACTCCTCCTTTCCCATACTTATTTTTTGGGTCTAGCCTCCCTTTTTATATCTCCTCCATCTCACACATTAACTTGATAAACAGTATAGCTGACAGAGCTGGAAAACATTCCAGAGTATCCATCAGGCTTCTTGTTTTCTTATGGTCTCTTACTTACAGCTCATCTTTACGTCTTTGCTTCCAGCACTACAGAAACAAATGATAGTCCCCGCTGTCATATGGAGAAATGTATGACAGAGGATCTAGGGGGCCATTGCCAGCCATCAGAGTTTAATGACACCTTCAAAACACATATTCTTAAAACATCCAACAACCTGCAAAGCGTTCTGAAAGTGCGTGCTGTTTCTCTGCTATTTCGCATTTCTTTTCCTCAGAGGCCTATTTTATCATAAACTGTATTTGATTTGGGGGGTTTGTTATTTAATCATGAATAAAAGCAAGCTTAACAAGTGTGTTGTAGACTGTAGAAATTAAATTGGGAAAATCTCACTTCTCAGAAACTCTTTCACTCTTTCAGTGTGATTTTGATGAAAGTAGTTGTAGTTTGCTTTTCTGTGTGCAGCACCATATATTACTGTGATTACTACCTGGTATTGCAAAGTGTATGTCTAAGCAACTTCACGAAATCAAGAAAGTGAAGATGCAGAATAACTGCCTGAACTGTGAACCAGTCATTCTGCTGGAAAACAAAGTCGTCATTGCATAAATTAATTTCTAATTTATTATTGAATATTTGTCCTACAATGACATTCATTAAGGTCTTGTTCCGTTGAGCTAGACTGTGTACAAATGTATATGAAAATAGTATGTGTGTACATATCTACACACAAAAAGAATAGTAATGAAATTGAAATTCAGCTAGTTCATCATTTTATATTTGTCTGTTTTTATAAACATTATCTTGAAGGTGGGACTAGAGGAATTTCAAAGAGGAATAGGAGGTAAAATTTAGAACGCTTTTCCAGACTGATAATTAAAATTAAATTTTTGAGATCGCATTATTTCTTTCTCATGTGCTGTCTCTGTACCACAAACAGAATATTTGTTTTTCTTAACAGGATCAATATTTTTATTTTTTGTTTTCCTTGAATAAAAGCACTGTACAAATTTAAAATGAAAGAAGGCTCTTTCAACAATAGTAGTAGAACGGAACAGGTATGTAGATATTTCAAGGAGTCAGAAAAGACACTGTGATAGTCACTATTCATTAAGCCTACAAGGAGATTTTTATAACATTTTCAGCAGATTAGATGAAATAACTGGCCATTATAATGTTTTATAATACTTTAGATAAATGATTTATGAATAGTTGTAAGGTTGTGATATGAAAAATTCGAAAGACTTCCATAAAAAGCAAAGTAGAAAATCTACTTTTGATTGGAATAAAAACCCATTAAATCAGGAGTGCAAATCTATGTATATCTTTAAATTGCAGAGTATATGGAAACTGGAAATGCAAGTGTTTCAGAGGAACCCCCACTGGAATGTGCAGAACATCAGTCTTGCATTTTGTCCCCAGAAGTTTCTCCGTCTCCGAAGGCTAAAAGTAAATACTTGTGCTCTGTGAATGCAGAATCGTATCTTGAAGTTCTCTTTAATATTACAATTATGTCACTAACACATTTATACTAATATGCCAAATGAAAGAGAGAGATAAAGGAAGGTACTGGTATTGAGAAGCTTTTTATCTACCATGAACTAACTGGCTTAACTGCATATACTGTGGTCTGTGTCATATAGGAAGGCTCAGAGCTGGATTCTCAGAACGGACAAGGCACTGATGGATTACAGCGTGCTACACTATTGATCCTAAATCTTTTTAATTTATCTTTCATTATGTATTTCAAAGTGAAATATAAAAAAAGCATGCTAGACATGCCAAAATACTCTACAAACATTCACATTCAATTTACAGGCTCGATTTGCTTTGTCCTTGCCAGTGAGTACCTTTTTCTATTGTGTCGTATTTGGATGACTCTTTTCAAGGGTCATTTGGGTACTGCTCTCCCATTCTTCCTGCAGATGAATCTTCCACCATATCTGTCATGTACCGTGCCTATTACTATTGCAGGTACATGCTTTCCCCTTGTATTACATTCCCTGAGCATCACTGTTGCATGTACATGCTTTCACCTTGTGTTATGTTCTCTGATGAATTGCGTGAGGCTTGGGGATCCATTCATGTTTCCCATTGGGATACTGAACAAATATATGCTGTATGAAGATAAATATTTCCTTTGACATTAATGGAATCATTTATGGAGTCAACTACTGTATGCAATAGAAATAGGTTTGTCCCAAAATTAAGTAATAAATATTTTTTAAAGAAGTTCTGCTTCTTAGCGGTAAGGTCATGATCTCACATTCATTGTTTCCACTTTCAGGGTCTAAATAACGTAATATATGCTAGCTTGCTCTTGCTTGTGTATTTTGTAATCTGAATCTAAAGGAAAGAAATCGTACATTATTGTGCTTCCTCTCCATCTGTCTATCATTCTCTCTCTAACAATCTAATTTCAAATAAATTAAATCAAATGTGGAAGAAGGATGGCGATATCAATTATCTTCCTGTGACTTTCATGAAAATTGGTAGTTGGACAGAGGAGAGAGACCTTAAATAGTGCCAGCACTGAAAGGAAGGTAGGCAAAATTCATCTTTTACATATCCTTTTTGGAAGCAATGAGCTAGTCAGTTAGCATACGCTTACTGGCAATTCAGTCAGCACACTTGTAGTTCCCATCTTAGCACACAGAACTCATTCTTGTCCGGTGGGAAATAATGCAGAGCATAAGTGGAAGAACATGGGATTTTTGCACTGAGAGAGTGAGAGCTAGGGGACAAGGTATAAATCTGTAGATATAAATCTAGGCCTGTTTCTTTTTAAGGCAGTGAAACATGATTTTAAAATAATCTTAATATTTAAGTCTTCAACTTCCGATTTTTATTTAATGTTGAATAATTTTAATTTTCTGATTAGAAAGGTGAAATAAACCTACTTACAACTTTTGTTTCATTTACAATTTTTATGCAAAATTACCATTGACTTAGAGTAACAAAAGTTTTGAGTACAAATTTCTATTACGTAGATAGTAAATGACAATTAGATGCTTTTAATTTACAGCTTCTGTTCTTGGCTCTGAAAATCTCAGTCCTGACTGGCCGGTAGCTGTAATTTTAAAAATATTTTAGAATAAGTCATGTCATTTATGCTTACTTAGCCTAAAAGACTATGAAAAATTGGCTATGAAGATAAATGACACAAAAAGAGCTCTAAACTAAGCAGATACAATCTTACCTGATACTTCTTTAGTAAAGTTCATGAATGTACACATTTTATGTATGCAGAGCTGAATATGCTCAGTGCTTTTCAGCATTTCATTCCCAAGGATGGGAATAATCTCTGTATTGTATAAAGATTATATCATATCCAGCAATATGGATATGCAATATCCAACCTTGGCAAGAGAAGGGGCTTCTTGTTTACACCTGGAAAAACTTAGTGTTTACTCACACGGTCACTGTTACTACTGAAAGTAGCTGTATGAGCCACATGCAATGGATTGTCAGAGCCTAATGCAGGCGTTCATAACAAGTAGCTTTTTATCCCATGGAGGTCTCACTGCTGGCAGTGGGCTATCTGCAGAAAAGTTAACACACAATGTGATTCTAATACCTATTACTGCTAGTTATATTTCTAATAGTGGCCTTCAGTTACTGCATAAATATAAAGTCTGATTTTTTATCATTTTTCTGGGTTGCTTAACTAAAGACGCCAGATAAATGAAAGAGAGATCTATCTGATAAATGAAAGAGAAATCATGAAATATAATGCAGAACTTGCCAAACATGGATTTCTAATAGGCTACTGCAGAGAGGCATATTTTAGACATGGGTTTTACCCAGTATATCCTGCCACAGTTCCAGGAAATTTAGTCCAGGAAAATGAGCAAGAAATTAACTCCTTCGATGGGACAGTTGTGCATTCTCAAAAACTTGATTTCAACCTACTTACAGTTTATGGAACCTATATAACATCTTATTTGCTCACAGCAACAAACAACAACCCAATGCAGAATATGGGACACTAGTCTTATGTGTTTACATAAACCTTCTTATTCTTGGATTAATCTTTACATTCTCAGATAGCTGCTATTTCTAGCCACTTTTCAGGGTTAGGAAACAGAGAAAGGGTAAGTATATATTGTATTTCATCCTTAATAAATATAAGGTGCAGGGGAATGCAGGAGCATGTAAATTATCTCCAGTCATTCCCTTTCTGGCATGAGATACCATTACATTTTCCTTTTTTTGGACTTGGGCATGAAGATTGCAGTTTAAATGATAATGTACAGAATATAAGAAGTACTCCACAGAATTTTAAAGAATATGCATTTCCTTTCTGGGCACAAATTACTCCTGGTATTCTAATTATTGTCTAATTGTTTGTTTTTAAAGGTGAAGCTGTGACTGGAGAATTATCAAAGCTTCTAGATGAAATCAAATTGTGCCAAGAAAAGGAATACTCTTTTGAAGATCTATCTCATACAATATCAGACCATTATCTGGACAATTTTAGTAAAGTGTCAGAGGAAGAATTTTTGACCAGTGGAAGCCAAACCAAGCTTAATGTGGTAAGTAAGACTGGATGTAAAGACAATATAATCATTTTTATTTGCTTTACTTTCTGCATATTCAAGAAAGAAATAATCAGCAAGAATAATACAGGTCTAATTATAGTGAAAAACAAATATAGCATATACTCATTACAGATTTAGAATTTAATATTTCCCTTAATTTACAAAGGTATTACTTACCAGAATTAGGAATGGCTTTGATGGCACCACTAATGTGAGCAAAAGTTCAGACTAATTGTCCTTTTGAGCATGGAGGGTTTGGGGAAGGATTTTATAAGTAATCATTGAAATCAGTCTTCATACCACCATACCTGAGACTAAATGCTTGCAGAATCTGATGAGAAGTGCTCAAACAAATTAGAAGCTAAGCGTCTCCATATACATTATATTATTATATGGCTTTTGCAATAGGCTAATGTGTGTGGCTGTGTGTGTTATACTGGAAGCTGTTGTGGTTGTGATACTTCAGCGACTTCCAACTACAGCTGAAAATTTGATTTCATTAATACTATTCCTGTGAGTAAAGTGCTATAGGATTCATTTTTTCATTCCAGGGTAACAAGGCAAATTTTTAAAAAATTGAATTCTTTCTTCTTCAGTAGGTAAAGTAAATAGGATTGCCCAGGGAATAATGCGTAGAACAGGGAGAAAATGCAAAATGCCAACTTTCAATTCATTTCTTTACAAGTTAAGGACAATTATGCTCTCATATGTGGGGGAAAAAATGTAGCAAGTTAAGGAATTTTATTTACTAGAGGATTTATTACAATATATGTAGACAGAATGAGATTTACAAAGATGGATAGGCACCCAAAAGTACAGTAAACATTTTTGTAAAACTCTTCTAGATGCCTGAGTGATTAGATGTATAACTCATTGAAATCAGTCTGCACAAGATACTGATCTCATTTAAGCATTTTTATAGGTCTTTCTAGTGTCTTTCTGTATTTAGGTGCTAATTGCTATTTAAATCTGCTCAGCCTCTATTTTGCAGAAAATGCAGTCTATTAATCCTATCTATTCTGACTGCAGTTTTTACTGATCTAAACTAAACAGAATGTGAAAAGGAACTGCTCAGACACTAAATCTGTAATTTACATGCAGCAGGCAAATACAAAGCTAAATTAGACAAAGATGTTTGCTGAGATTTCATTTACTTGTGTGTTGACCTAAAGGTGAAAAAAAATCTTCAAAAATGGTAGCTCATTACTAACAAATTTGGGAGAAAAAAAGAGGTTGTTTTCTGTTTTTTTTCTTCCCCCAGCTTAATCCTAAGAAAAGCTGAATTTTAGAATTTAGACTACGTGGCTTGATCCCACATAAGAAAGATTTTTTTAAGGTATTATGGGAATGTTAACAGACAGTAAATCACAGAATCACAGAATCACAGAACGGTTGAGGTTGGAAGGGATCTCTGGAGATCATCTAGTCCCTGCTCAAGCAGGGTCCTCTAGAGCATATTCCCAGGATCACGTCCGGGCAAGTTTTGAATATGTCCAGGGAAGGAGACTCCACTACCTCTCTGGGCAACCTGTGCCAGTGCTCTGTCACCCTCACAGGAAAGAAGTTTTTCCTCAGGTTCAGATGGAACTGCCTGTGTTTCAGTGTATGCCCGTTGCCTCTTGTCCTGTTGCTGGGCACCAGTGAGAAGAGTTTGGCCTCATCCTTATGACACCCTCCCTTCAGATACTTGTACACATTGGTCAGATCCCCTCTCAGTCTTCTCTTCTCCAGGCTGAACAGGCCCAGCTCTCGCAGCCTTTCCTCATATGAGAGATGCTCCAGTCCCCTAATCATCTTCGTAGCCCTTCGCTGGACTCTCTCTATTAGCTCCATGCCTCTCTTGTACTGGGGAGCCCAGAACTGGTCACAGTACTCCAG